TTTAGATCTTTAATCCATCTGGAGTTAATTTTAATAAAGGTGTCAGGAAGGGGTCCAGTTTCTGCTTTCTGCACATAGCTAGCCAGTTTTCCCAACACCATTTATTAAACAGAGAATACTTTCCCCATTGCTTGTTTTTGTCAGGTTTGTCAAAGACCAGATGGTTGTAGATGTGTGATATTAATCCTGAGGCCTCTGTTCTGTTCCATTGGTCTATGTCTGTTTTGGTACCAGTACCATGCTGTTTGATTACTGTGGCCTTGTAGTACAGTTTGAAGTCAGGCAGCATGATGCCTACAGCTTTGTTCTTTTTGCTTAGGATTGATTTGGCTATGCAGGCTCCCTTTTGGTTCCATATGAGGTTTGAAGTGGTTTTTTCCAGTTCTGTGAAGAGGGTCATTGGTAGCTTGATGGGGATAGAGCTGAATCTATAAACTACTTTGGGCAGTATGGCCATTTTCACAGTGTTGATTCTTCCCAACCATTAGCATGGAATGTTTTTCCATCTGTTTGTGTCCTCTCTTATTTCATTGAGCAGCCTTTTGTATGTCTCCTTCAAGAGATCTTTGTTAGTTGTATTCCTAGGTATTTTGTTTTCTTTGTAGCAATTGTGAATGGGAGTTCACTTTTGATTTGGCTGTTTGTCTGTTATTGGTATATAGAAATGCTTGTGATTTTTGCACATTGATTTCGTATCCTCAGACTGTGTGGAAGTTGCTTCTCTGTTTCCGGAGATTTTGGGCTGAGACGATGGGGTCTTCTAAATATACAATCATGTCATCTGCAAATAGAGACAATTTGACTTCCTCTCTTCCTATTTGAGTAAGCTTTATTTCTTTCTCTTGCCTGATTGACCTGGCTAGGACTTCCAATGCTATTGAATAGGAGGGGTGAGAGAGGGTATCCTTGTCTTGTGCCAGATTTCAAAGGGAATGCTTCCAGTTTTTGCTCATTCAGTGTGATATTGGCTGTGGGTTTGTCATAAACAGCTTTTATTATTTTGTGATATGTACCATCAATACCTAGTTTATTGAGGGTAGCCAGGAGCTGGATTTTGAAAAGATCAACAAAATAGATAGACTTCTAGCCAGACTAATAAAAAAGAAAAGAGAGAAGAATCAAATAGATACAATAAAAAATGATAAAGGGGATATCACCATCGATTCCACAGAAATACAAACTACCATCAGAGATTACTACAAACAACTCTATTCACACAAACCAGTAAATCTGGACGAAATTGATAAATTCCTGAACACTTGCACTCTCCCAAGACTAAACCAGGAAGAAATTGAATCCCTGAATAGACCAATAACAAGGGCTGAAGTTGAGGCTGTAATTAATAGCCTACCGACTAAAAAAAGCCCAGGTCCAGACAGTTTTACAACCGAATTCTACGAGACATACAAAGAGGAGCTGGTGCCATTCCTTCTGAAACTATTCCAAACAATACAAAAAAAGCAAATCCTCCCCAACTTATTTTATGAGACCAACAACATCCTAATACCAAAACTGGGCAGAGACGCAACTAAAAAGAAAACTTCAGGCCAATATCCATGATGAACATTGATGCAAAAATATTCAATAAAATACTGGCAAACAGATTGCAACAGCAAATCAAAAAGCTTATTAATCATGATCAAGTAGGCTTCATCCAGGGGATACAAGACTGGTTCAACATACGCAAGTCTATAAATGTAATCCATCACATAAACAGAACCAAAGACAAAAAACAGGTGATTATCTCAATAGTTGCAAAACAGGCCTCCTCTTCATTCAAAGGGTTCTGGGTCCTTAAACTGGCTCAAGTCTGGAAATAGATTGAGGGGCTGTGATTCTCTATTTTTATAATTCAAATTAGTCTTTTGTCCACTCAACCTGGAAGTTTTCTGCTTATATAAATTAAGAATACAGTAGGCTACCTACCAATTTCAATTCTAGAAAAGCTGTGATTAATCAGCCAATGCCAGAGCTCTACGTGAGTCAGACGTCTAATTGGTGCTTTGTCTCTGCTGTCCATTAGGGTAGCTATGCCCACCTTACCCTTGACGGTTGAGTGCCACCTCAGGATCCAGTTATTCTCATTTCATTTACACTTTCTAATTGAGTGACTGTGATTCTCAATGTAAGATATGGCATACAGAGAAGAGCAATCACAGAGCTCTTCAATGATGCAGGTGCTCCTCTCACAAATCTATTTTGTAAGGTATCGGTGAAGGATATGTCTTCTGGACCCTCCCAACTGGGATAAGTGGATCTAAAGTGACTAATCCACTCTAGCATCCCAAACGCCCTAAGCCTTTGGATCCCTTCCTTACATTAAACCAAGGAAGATCAGGCATTTCTAGCTCACTCACAGTGGGCCATCTTTTGATCCATGTTTCAGTTAACCAGCCAAATAAACTATTAGAATCTTTTCTTTCTTTCTTTTTTAACTCCCTGGGCTGCAACGGTTAATGCAAAATCCTTGCTTAGTGATCCCAAATCAATAAATTCAGCCTGATTCAACTTTAATTCCTTCCACCATTACCCCACACCTTTAATATCCACTTTCATGTCTGTTCTTCAGAATTCTGCTTATATAAGTTAGAAAACTCAAGCATTTATTTTGGGGTTTAGTGTAACTCCTTATGGGGCACACTATGAACCTCACCTCCGGAAGCCTGCCAAGAGCTTTAGTTTAGTTTAGTTATAGGTCTAGAAGCAGACAGGAGTGTTACGGTGGGTCATAAGGAGCATCAGCATTGTCTTGCCTTGCAACTACCTCAGGGGAGGCAATCACTGTTGCCTCAGGCAGTGCATGATTCATCTCCTCAGACAAAGGTAGAAAGGCTGATGGCAGCCTGGATCTGCAAGGGGATGTTGCCACCACTGGCTGTGGGCAGGCTGTTTCCTTTGGCAAAAAAAGGCACATCAGAGTTTATAAGCTCAGTGTCCCCAGCTTCATCAGGGTTCTCCCATATGTCCCCATTTCAGTGCCCTCATTTTAACAGTAAACACCTGGTGAGACTGAGTGTGTGCCTTTCATTCCAGATCAGCCACTTGCATAATAAGAGCTAGCGTCTGATTTTCTGCAATTTCAGTCCTTTACAGAAAAAAAAGACTGTCATTCAGGGCAATTTTAGAAGACTTGAGGCTCAGCCGGGCATGGTGGCTCATGCCTGCAAATCCCAGCACTTTGGGAGGTCAAGGTGGGCAGATTGCCTGAGGTCAGGAATTCAAGACCAGCCTGACCAACATGATGAAACCCTGTCTTTGATAAAATACAAAAAATTAGCAGAGTGTGGTGGCACCAGTTACTTGGTAGGCTGAGGCAGAAGAATTGCTTAAACCTGGGAGGTGGAGGTTGCAATGAGCCAAGATTGCACCACTGCACTCCAGCCTAGGCAACAGAGTGAGACTTCATTTCCAAATTTAAAAAAAAGAAGAGGTTCAGGATGTGCGTATGGAACTGGGAGTTAGAATGCCTGAGCTCATCTTTTTAGTTCATCATTTTGCCCAGTGAACTTAGGAGCAACCAACCAACTTCATTATATTCCTTGGTTCTCCACATATAGTCAAAGGTATTATGTACAGAGTCACTAAACTCCTTGTCTCTCACGAGTAGTGAATCAGGAGTATCAAATGCTTTCATTTTGCCTAACTTTCTAAACAGTTCACACCAAAGACTATCAGTGTTCTTTATACTATTAAAAGTAGAATCCTTAACATTTTGGTGTCTAATCATATTAAGCAGCCAACTCCAAAAATCCCAAAACCAACTAAAGAAATACATCCTTAAAATTCTGTTCCTCTAGAACCACTCCTGGTACCAAAATCTGTATTAGTCAGGGTTCTCAATAGGGATGGACTTAACAGGACATATGTATATATGAAAGGGAGCTTATTAAGGAGAATCGACTTACACAATCACAAGGAAAAGTCCCACTACAGGTTGTCTGCAAGTTGAGGAGCAAGGAAGCTAGTGGTAGACCAGTCCAAGTCCCAAAACCTCAAAAGTAGACAAGATGACAGTGCAGCCTTTAGTCAGTGGCCAAAGGCCCGAGAGCCCTGGCAAACCACTGATGTAAGTCTAAGAGCCCAGAAGCTGAATAACTTGGAGTCTGCTGTTCAAGGACATCAAGTGTCCAGCACAGGAAAAAGAGGAAGGTCAGAAGTCTCAGAAAGTCTGCCCTTTCCAACCTCTTCTGCCTGCTTTATTCTAGCTGTGCTGGCAGCTGATTAGATGGTGCCCACCCAGATTGAGGGTGGGTCAGCCTCTCCCAGTCCACTGACTTAAGTGTTAGTCTCCTTTGGCAACACCCTCACAGACACACCCAGGAACCATACTTTGTATCCTTCAATCCAATTAAGTTGACATTCAATATTAACCATCACAATATATAATAAAGAAAAATCAGAATACTTTAAATAAAAAAATTTTTACTGTAGATTAAGAACATCTAAATAAATGGATACAGTGGTCTGTGTTCTTTGATAGAAAAAATGACCACTGTAATGTTGCTAATTGCCTACAACTAATCAATATAATTACTGCAATTATGACCAAAATATCATCAGGAACTTCTTTCTTAGACATGACAGAGTCATAAAATAATTAACCAAAATAGCTAGGACTATTTAGGAAAGGAGACTAATGAGGAGTCTTGGCTCCTTGTATGCTGAAACCATGATCATAATCATCATGATCATCATCATTGCTAGAGTGTGTTTGGACCCACTAAATTTCACATTGAAATTGGATTCCCAGTGTTGAAGGTGTGGCTTGGTGGGAGGTGTTTGGGATGTAGGGGTGAATTCTTCATCAGTAGCTTGGTGCTACACTCACAGGAGTGCATAAGTCTCACTTTTAGGTACCCTCAAGGACTAGTTGTTGAAAAACCCTGGCATCTATTTCTTTTTCTGTCTTGCCTCTTTCTTACCACTTTATCTCTGAAGAGCTGGCTTCTGTTTATCTTCTGCCATGGGTGTAAGCAGTCTGAAGCTCTCACCAGAAGCAAATGCTGGTTGTTGTCATGCTTCTTGTATAGCCTGCAGAACTATAAGGCAAACAAACCTCTTATCTTTATAAATTACTCAACCTTGGGTATTCCTTTGTAGCATTCCAAAGAACTAAGACAATCCTCATTTTCAGCAATTATTGAAATAGAGTGGTGCTTAGAGAGCTAAAGGCACTTAGTATAGTAGAAGGCCTAAAAATTGTTCCACATAACTATGAAATTAGTTTATAACAAATGTGGTATGATAAAGGTAGAATAGGAAAACCACTTGACTCATATATAATGCCCAAACCATACAAAAATAATTGCAGTAATGATACTTAAACAGCTAGGTTAGTCATTAGAAAACCAAAAATGTTAGCTCTAACCACATAACAAAGTAAATTCCAGATAAGGTGATATTAAATGAGGAGAAAAGGAATACATAAAATAGCAAAAAGAGGGAAAGCATATACATATTTGTGTATGATTATTAATAAACCTATATGCAAATTTCAAAAGTAGTAAAATTTGCACATATCCCAGAACAGTGTGGTAAGATTCATAAGACAAATGCTTAAAAGTTAAACACAACATCTCTTTGAGAATGTGACATTAATATTTATAGTCACCTGGCTTCAACTCTGTGTGCTTTCAGTGGTGAAGGCTCTGTATTAATTTCTTGGTTATAGAGAGTCTTTGTGAGATGGCTTTCTCAGATGCTGGTCATAGGTAACAGTCAACATAATGACTGGAACAGAACATCATATCTCAATATCAACACTGAATTTAAGGGATTCAAAGATTCAAGGATTCATAGTTTGCATATTTACTAACATGAAAGCTTATTGTTCAACAGGTAATATTGGCTGATACCCTAATTAAGACAATAAGCCATCCTTCAGGCTGTTTGTCTCACAGATATGATATCTGGAGAGACACAGCTTTCACTCCAGGAGTATCATTAGAAACTAGATCCTCAACGCACATTCAAGTAATCCTAAGGTAAGAAAGTGGAGGACATAGTCTAAGAAGAAAGTGAGAACATAGTGAGTCTTCTTATCACAAATTGGGTCTTCTAGTGGACATATTGAAAAGACTTAAAGGAAAGGAGAGGAAAGGGGTTTGAATAGGATTATGGATGTGCTCAGTAAAACAAGGATAAAGAACCCTGTGACACAGGGTAGCATAAAGGCTTAGACATTTAGTTTGATTAAGGTAAATAGTGAATGTTTACTTCAGTTCCCATTGAAGATGGATAGATTTTAGGGTTTCTCAGACCTGTGGCAATTAGTCTAAGCTAGAGCTCTGCAATTGAGTTATTTTGATATGAAGCAGTGAAAGAACAAAACTTACTGCATACAGGAGAAAGTTTTGCATTTTCAAATGCAGTTATTCAAAATACGGATGATGTCTCTTGTGTTTATGCATAGCCTGATAGGCAAGGACTGAATTATATAAATAAGGTTCATGAGTTGTAGAAAGAGGAATGTGCCAAAAAGCTATAAAGGCATCAGTTTATAAGATTCAAGTGGTCATGAAAGCTGAATTCATTATCACCATCTTCAGGATCTCACAATGGACACAGAAAGGTTACTAGTAGAACAATTTGAGGGCGATTTTGAGAGTTGGAAACTTCAGATTTATGAGAATGTATAATACACAGGAAGGAAATACAGTATCTGTATCAAATGATATGATAGAATAAATGAAGAGAGACAGAAAAGAGGAAACAAAGGCAGAAGATGTGCTTACAATGAGTATCAACAGAGGATGATACCAGAATTAGGGCTTAGAAGCTAGTTTTAATAAACAACTAATATTTAACATTCATATGCTCCTTCTATGTTTAGACACTATCCTAGAGTCATTACTAATTTAACTTGTTTAATCCCCATTAAAAACAAAAACAAAAGAAAACACTAGGAGATGTATGTCATTCTTAACTTCATTTTGTCTATTAGTAAATGAAGGCCTAGAGAGGTAAGGACCCTGCTAGGGTCATGAGACAGTATGTGTTGGAGCTGACATTCACACTGACTCTATCTTCAAAACCCTTTGTCTTAACCTTTAGGACTTCAAAATAAGGAATTCAAGAACAGTACAAAAATCAAAGAACACTGTATTAGCAGAAAAAATTTAACAACTCAGTAATATTAAAGAATTGATTAAACAGTTTATAGAAAAATGTTAAACATTACTGAAGCTACACCAGAATTTTCATCGTGAATATAAAGTTTTGAAAATTTAATTACCTATTATTTCTAATATATGAGCTTTGATCAGAAAAAAAAAAATGCTATATGTAGACAGGATCTGGTTTCATGAGTATGCAACAAGTGAAGTCACATGATGCTCTGTGCTTACAGGAGCCTCATGCTTTGTTTAATGCCTTAACACCACCAGAACATGATTTAATAAATTTTGAACAAGGAGCTTTGCACTTTCATTTTGTGCTAGACCTTGTGAATTGTATAACTGGTCCTGTACATACATAATTAAATATTAGATAATTAAATATTTCACAAATTATCCCAACATGCCAATATACTTAAATTTCATCTGATTTTAGCCAAAGCGAAAGTGATAAAAATGTTATGGTATTGAAAATTTGGAATGTATTATTAAAAGGTAAAAAAATTAAGTTTGCCATATGTGTCATGTTTAAAACCAATGTATCTCTGATTTTTAAAAGAGGAAATTTGATGCAACTAAATAATTAATGGTAAGGTGGTTTGGAAGGATATCTCAATTATCCATAATGAATACCCTGCAAGTGTTCCAGGGAGCAGCTGCAGCCAAGGCAGGTGTGCGGTGGGGGGAGAAAAGATCCAACTTAGTTTTAGGAAGAAAATGCACAGAGAAATGAGAAGGCAGTCCCAGAGCATCTGTCAGATCTACATGAAAAGACAATTTGAGAACAGATGGTAATGGAAAGTAGAAAATTACTTTCATACACATCTAGACATCTTTTGGCCAGCAGTGAAGAATTTGGTACAGTGGGCTAAGTCCTTTAGGACACACTAGCCAACATGGATAAGAAAAGCCTTTCAAATCAGCTAGGCTTTTGCTAATGTAATTTTAGCCATTAATGTGTAGAACAAAAGAATACCAACTAATCCTTTAGGGGCCCAAGCAGAGATGTGTGTGGCAGTGTAGGGTCTCTTAAAAATTTTCTGCTTCGATGTATAGGGTAATAAAGTGAAGATAAAAATTCTGTTCAGTAACACATTTACATATTAAGCATGCCCAGAATGAGGATTTAGCCTTTCAAATAAATGCAATTCAGTAATAAGAATAATAAAAATTTGCACCAGATTGTTATTTTGCTAGATAATAGAAAGACTGGGTGTTTTAGGTCAAAATAGACCTCTGACAAAGATCTATTGGCTACACAAAGATTATAATTTATTTTCCTCTCTTCTTCCTCCTCTTCTTTCTCCTTCTCCCCCACCTTCTTTTCCTCCTCCTCCTCCTAGCAAATATGTGTGTGTGTGTCTAAAGAACTTATAATATTATTATATAAAGACAATAAGAGTTGAATGGAATTTAATAGTTAAACCTTTTTCACTATATCTTCATATTAAGGTGTATATTTTGTCATAAAAATTCTATAAGCCAAGTGTGTATGTGTGCATGCGTGCGTGTGTGTGTATAATTATTTACTTATTTTTGTAGTTTCATGGGGTATATGTGCAGGTTTGTTACATAAATATGTTGCATAATGGCGTGGTTTAGGCTTCTAATGTGTTCATCACCCAAATAGTAAAAAGTGCACCCAGTAGGTAATTTTTCAACTCACACCTCTTTCCCCCTTTTTGAAGTCCCCAGTGTCTATTATTTCCATCTATATGTCCATGATTACTCAATGTTTAGTTCCTACTTATAAGGAGAATATGTGTTATTTGATTTTATGTTTATTTCACTGTGCATAATGGCCTCCAGCTCCATCCATGTTGCCACAAAAGGCATAATTCCATTCTTTTTTGTGGCTGCATATATACTACATTTTCTTTGTCCCATCATCTGTTGATGGACAATTGGGTTGATTTCATGACTTTGGTATTATGAATAGTGCTGTGATAAACATACAAGCAAGTATATTTTTATGTAATGATTTATTTTCCTTTGATAGATGACCAGTAGTGGGGATGCTGGCTCATATAGCCATTGTATTTTAAGCTATTTGAAATCTCAATACTGTTTACCATAGAGACTGTACTAATTTACATTCTCAAAATAACAGATATTGGTGAGGATGCAGAGAAAATGGAAGACTTTTCTCTGCATCCTCACCAACATCTGTTGTTTGTCTATTTAATAATGCTCATTCTTAATGGCGTAAGATGATATTTCATTGTACATTTCTCTGATGACTAGTGATGTCGAGAATTTTTTTGGTATTTTTGTCATTGTATACAAGAATTAACTCAAAATGGATTACATATTTAACTGTAAGACCTGAAAGATACAAAATCCTAGAAGAAAACCTAGAGAAAACTCTTCTAGACATTGACCTAGGCAAATAATTCATGATTAAGACTTCAAAAGGAAATGCTATCAAACAAAAATAGACAAATGTGACTTAATTCAACTAAAAATGTTCTGCATAGCAAAAGAAATTATCAACAGAGTAAACAGACCATATATAGAATGAGACAAAATATTCACAAACCATGCATCTGACAGAGAACTAACATACCACATCTACAACCAACTTAACTCACCAAGATAAAAACAAGTAACACCTTTAAAAAGTGGGTAAAGGATATGTACAGACATTTCTCAAGATATATATCTACTATTTAAGTTAATTATCAAAACATTGTAAATGAATTATAAGAAAGTCTATTATTTTCAGTCAATAAACATGGGTGTTCTCTTAAGTGGCAGGAGAGATTTTAGTTTCCCAACAACTGGTTGTTGATTTCAGATTCTCAAGTGGATTATGTTGCAGGGATATTTTTGATTATTATCAGCCTACCTTTTGACAAACTATTAATATTACATATCTAGAATAATACCTCTGCAGTACAAACCACCAAAGAATTCTTGAAACATGAGAAGGATCCCAAAGCCAATATCTGAATCACGAAATTGATACTTGGGGAATGCAGATTATATGAAACATATTTTTCTCATATTGTATTCCCAGCAAAGGGCACAGAGGCTGTCACATAGTAAACATGCAATAATGTGCTTTATTCTGAAGTAAATGGTTTAAAACACTTGTGTTAACAGAGGAATTGTGCTCTCCATTTATATTTAATGAGCACATACTAAGTGCTAGGGAGCTGGGGATTTGGGTTCAAATTTGATTTAACCTTACATGACTTATTTTTGAATCCCCAGTTATCTTATTTCTAGAATGGAAATAATTTCCCTCCTACCTGAAAAGGTTTTTGAGAGTTAAAAATTTAATTGACTATGAAAGTAATTAAATTTAAATTATTACAAAATATGTTACTTTAATAACACATATTTTTGTTCATTCAGCAGCAATAATTTTTGTAACACTTGAATCAACTGTAAAGCTCAGAATGTGTAGATACCAGTTCATCAGATTTATTCCTTAGAACTGAAGGCTAATTTTAATGCTTGAATTTGCTAATCAACCATGTTATAAATCCCTTACATAGTTAATATTGTATTATTCACAATCTCTTATGCTTAGTTTAATATATGAAAGAGACTATTTTGAGTACTGTACTTTCTCATATAATTTATATATTCACAGTGGATGCCCTCATT